TGATGGTGGAACATCTTTCTACTGATGATGGTGGAACATCTTTCTACAGATGGGTTAGAGTTAGGTTACTACTAGGGACATCCCAATCAGATATTTTTGCCCCGATCCAATCTGTCATTTAATATTTAGTGTAAGCCGATATCTGGTCCCAAAGCGGTACCACTTTCTTGATAATATACACTTCAAGTATAGTAAATATATCAATGTATATGATTGAAATCCTAACAGCTCTGCAGTGCATTCAGGAAAAAATGCACTTCCACATTCAAGCTGTTAATAAATGTTCTATAGGTTGAACCTTGTTGTAAAGCTCCAGTAGAACACTGTCTGAATTTTGTAAAACCCGCTCCAAACTGTTATCTTTCATCTTGGAAGACCGAAAATTGCACAATCATGAGAGAATCATCCTATGTCATGCTGTGAGACAGGTTCAAGGACGGCCGTTGTCATGGTCTTGCAAACAAAGACTGCTGAATGCAACCTACGTCAACTAACCAACCAATGGAAACGCAGTATGAAATGACGTCCTGATCAGCATGACACTAGCTCCCTTTACAAAACTGGCATCCCGGGTTGGCTTCTCTTTCCGAGCCACGACCTCCTCATTGTCCTGTTTTTTGGGATTTCTCTCCAAACACATAAATGCCACAAGGACAAGGGCTCCCTTCACGTTTCGCTAGTTTCTTTTCTTCCCAATCATTACTCTTTACACTTCAACACTTGTGTACTATTACTTCAATTAATTCTAATGTTGCTACTACATATCCCTTGACTTCCAATACTAACACTTCTTCATTTGTCTGGTACCTATACTATAGCATCTACTAGCATTTGTGCTAACGCTATAGCGCCTCTACACTTGTACTACCGCTACCAAAAACTGCATTTCAGTTCTGGCACTACTCCGACTACTACACCTATTATCATTTGTACTACTTGCAGTTCTATACCTGTAATGATGATACCACTACCTTGCTTATTGCTGCCACTAGAAGCACTTCTAAAGCTGCTGCTGTACCTCTACCTCTCCTCCATACTGGTAATTCTTTCACTTCTGCAACAAGTACATCAAGAGGGTTTTTACAACAACAACCACGCAACTGAGATATCACTGGTCCTGTCAGTACCACTTCAAATGCTGTTAAATCATCACGAAGGCCCGCTTCTCTCCTCCGTTAGCCTCGCTTGTCCTCACAGTGGGATTCGGTCTGATGTTGAACAACAAAGCGAAGCGGCAGATCAGCGGATCAGCGGCGAGTTTTACAACAAAGCAGCTCCGTGTTATCATCCAGTTCGTCAGAGCTGCCAATCAGACGGCCTCTGGTCAGGAATTAAGTCTGCCAATTAGCCCAGCGGCATCGTGAGGCGCAATAACGAGCCTTCTCACAAACGTAGACGAGAAACAGCCGTAGTATCTGTTGCGCATGTTAAGAACATTATGCAACTCTCTGACAGAAAATAATATCTGACTTCTGTACTTCCTGCTGCTTTTTCTCCCTTTAGGTTCATTTCTTTCATTTCCTGTTTCCCCCCTACACACCTTACGCTCCCTCATAAACAGACTGAAGAAGCCGTCTTCATTCCCCAGGCGTCCAAACGTACACTTTCGTCGAAGCTGCTCAGATTCAAAACAAGGTGTCCTTTGATGTCGATGCCACAAGCAGCAATTATTTGACGCTGATGGATGTTAATGGCGCAACAACGCGGTCACATGTGCCACGTATGCGAGCAGGAAGCGTCACGGGTCAGGACGCCATGTGACAACATGGGATCAGCATCAGGACCGGCGTTACAGATGTTTCTGTTATCGCTGGCGAGAGCAAACATAACATTCTGCAGCTGGATGATTCAACCTTCATGAGAGAGACCATCACGGCGACCAGAGGATTCTCGCTGTTTTGCTCAACATGCGTTTGTTGGTGCAATGTGAGCCCGTCCCTCAGGGCCGAACTGTCCAAGCGGAGTGCGACGGGAACGTCCTGAGGAGTCTTGAGGACGTCCAGATAACATTCAGCACAAATGACCTGCAGTGTGGCACGACAGACAGTCACGAACCAAAGTTTACATCCGTTTATGACGACCATGTACATCAGGGCAGTTTTGAGTTTCCAATGACTCCTATAACTCTGAATTTTCTGTGATGGAACAATTAAAAAAAAAGAAACAATTATGCATTTTGGTTCTTTCATAGATTTGTTAAAGGTCTTCTGGAAATATGAAGAAACCTGCTGAATCCAAACTATACGTACAGAAACACTAACATTTGATTGGCTATTTTCACCTCAGTTCAGTTCTTCTGGTTTCCGCCCACCAGCTTCTGGTTGTAGGATATGTTCTAGTGCCCTTTTATGGTTGGACTTGGTTGGAAGTTTCCATCCACTTGGAAAAACCATGTGTGTCTTGGCAATCTTTAGTTTCCAATTTGTTTATTTTATTAAAGGTCTTCTGGAGATACAATCAAATCTGTTGAGTCAAACATACACAAATGTTAATATCTGGTTACATGTCCATTTTCATCTCAGTTGGGTTCTTCTGGTTCTGTCCACTAGCTTCTGGTTCATCTTTGACTCCTCTGGACAGAATCGCTGCAGTTCAACTAAACTTGTCGTCTTTCTGACTCAGACTTGTTTCTTCATCAGTACACAGGTTCTGGATGGTTTCAGTCAGGACTTTGGGGAGACCAGTCTAGAACCTTCATTCCAGCCTGATGGAACCATTTCTTCACCACTTTGATGTGTGTTTGGGCTCATTGTCTGGTTGGAACATCCAACTGTGTCCAAGATCAACCTTCTGATGATGGTATCAGGTTTTCCTGAAGAATGCCCCAGGGCATGATGCTGCCACCTCCATGCTTGATGGTAGGTTTGGTGTTCTTGGGGTTAAAGGCCTCACCTTCTCTCCTCCAGACATGTTTCTGCTCAGTGTTTGTTCCATCTGACCACAGAACTTTCCTCCAGAAGGCCTTTTCTTTGTCCATGTGATCAGACTTCAGTGGCACTTTAAGGTTCTGCTTCTAGAGGAAGAACTTCCTTCTTCATCAGCCTCTCAGCTCACGTCTGTCATGTCTACACGTGGTCTTCACAAGTCTACGTACATTCGTTTCTTCAACACCACAACTGTTCCTTTCATCTGACTCTAATTGCTAGATTTTTTTTCTCCCTGCGACTTCTTCTGGTTTCCCAAAAAGAAAGTTGAAAGGTTGCCATATGACGCAGTTTAAGATACTCAGCGACTACTGCACACAGCGTTTGGCATGTTTACATACTGGGACTTCAAGGAAGCGTTACAGGAGCGTTACAAGAGCACTGGGAGCAGAGCAGCGCTGCACAAGAAGAAGACTTCAACTGGGACAGTCATATCAGGTATGATGACACAGAAGTTGTTGAAGTCACATTACAAGAGTTACACTGAGATTTAAGATTCAACTTTATTGTTAATTCACAACAAAATGGCGTCTTTTCACATGTCAGCGCACAGAAGCAGCCGGTAGGGTTAAAAGCTTCGCTGAAGGAACCAGCAGTGGAATCCTGGTGGACTTGAACCCTCAACCTTCCAAACAGGAGTCCAGAGACTTTACGGCTGAGCCAGAACGAGGGCAGGTAAAGCTGAGACTTCAACTTAACGCTACAGAGCAACGGCAACAACGTTTAAAATCCGTCGAACTGCCCTGCAAAACTGCAACTACGGCAAAAAAGCTGGAAAACTGACATAATTCACATAAGATGTAGGGTTTTTTTTAATATGCCGAGAAATAATTGTTTAAGTTTGTTAAGATCACGAGTTTCTCCAGAAACATGTTATATTTTTGGAAGGATCAACTGAGCTGGATGAGCCTCAGAATAACAGAAGGTTGGAGGTTTTCCATCGTCTCCTCCTGTCCTTCCCTCCTGCCCTCCTTCTCCTGCATGGTCCTTTATTCCACCTACTTTCCTTAATGCTCCTCTCTTTCTTTCATTCTTCTCCTCTCTGACACCTTTAAACCTGAAGCCACACCTCTTCTCGTGCTCGGAGCAGGAACGAAGCCCAAACAAACCGTGATTAAAGCCAACACACTTGGGCCGTCATGAATAAAACAGGTGGCTGAACTCCGTCCTCTCTCTCCTGCCAGAAATCCATTTTCTAAATTTCCAGCAGCAGTCACAATCATTCAGAGTGCCGAACCTCCCCGACTGCGTCTCCGCGAGCCGCATGAAATATTAATGACGACCCGCAACCCGCAGCGGCGGCAGCGACGACGAATCCGCCGCTCGCTGCGTCTGGCGGCTTGAAGCTAGCGTGCGAGGACGGACGGACCGAAGGCGTGGCTCCGAGCTGTTAATGCAAGCGAGCGGTTTCTTTGACTCGGCGCTCAGGAAGTGCTCCGAACGCGGTGGTTAATGTTTCATACGAAGCTTTATCTGTGCAGAAGTAATGCAAAGAGCTGCATGTTTGCAGTCAGCGTGCATTGAAGGTCCTGCGGAGGAATTAACTCCCAGCTGGTGTCGGAAATAGACTTCACTGCAAGTTGAGGGTGTTTTCCTCGGAGCGGGTTTAATTTGAAGGGTTGGACTGATCCTTAAGAGCAAAACTGAGATCTTCAGATCTGCAGAATCACCCAAAAGACTAAAAGTTCAGTTGTGGTGTTTTTATATATTATATTTATTTGGACATCTGGACTTTATCTACACATGATTTAAGGCAGATGTTCTTATTGGAAAAGTGACTGTAGACGAGCTGCTCTGCACCAAACCTGACGCTGCTAAGTACATGAGAAAATGTTTTAAATCCTTTTAATTAACATTAAAAAACATACTACTTTGAACAACTTATTTTTTTATTTCTAATCAACTTAAACACTCGTTTTTATGCTGCTAGTCATTAAGTGATTAAAACACATCTGATTGTAGAGGACAGCTAACTCTCTCAGCTCGGTGTCGTTTGTTGTTTGGACATCATTTCATTGGAAATTGATGCAAACTTTTTGCTGCCGAGTCCAAACATTATTCTTTTGCGCACACCAAAGAAAAAAATAAATAAATCTAAGCTCGTCTTTTATTTTAAAAAATGCCCCCCCCAAAAATCAGCTGCACCAGATTCTGTGAAAAAAACAAACTAAACATGATATTACACAGATATTTAATGGTAACCGACGTTTTCATAACCGCATTTGTTGCGACAATTTCATCACATTGAAATAAAGTTTAATTAAAGTCGTGTTGAAGTTTTAAATCTATCCTTGTGTTTGCGTCGTGTTGCTGCTGCCCCCAAGTGGCCAAAAAAATAGAGTTAATGCCGTTATAAATCACCAATGTTTAAATATGTGTTGATGATGATGAATATTTGGGGGATGTTGGATCGCCAGCAGAAACCAAACCAAGTGTGAAGCAGGAGAACCTGTTGCCATGGCTACCTGCGCTTTAAAGTCTGAGCAGAGCATCTTTGTGCTGCGTCGGTGTTTTTGTTCTCTCACCTCGGCCAGCCTGGACTGCTTGTGGCTGACTTCGTGCTTGCCGATGGGCGCCAGCTGCTGCAGCGTGTTGCGGTTGTTGGTGAGCGCCCTGGTGAGCCGGGCGAACTTCGTCCATCCTGCAGAGAGAAGACACGGATTAATGAAGCGTCAACGGGCTTCCAGAACAAAACATCGGATCCCCCCGATCACGACTCCGAAGGGGATTCACCAGAGCAGCAAAATACTCCCACAGCTCCCACCGGCCACCGGAGGCCCGATGGAGTCGTTCCCAGTCGGTCGCTTTACAACAAAAACAACACAGTGGCTGAGTTTAGACTGATCTGACAGATTAATGCTGAACTGCAGGCAGTGTGTCCTCAGAGCGGAGAGGAAGACGGTCCACAACAACATAAAACGGTCCACAATAACATAAAACTTTCCAAAACAACATAAAACTGTATCTACAACAACATAAAACTGTCCACAACAACATAAAACTGTCCAAAACAACACAAAACTGTCCAAAACAACATAAAACTGTCCACAACATAAAACAGTCCATAATTACTCAAATGTTGTCATTTTGAACCAATTTTGAGTCAATTTGACTCAGTTGAAGTACTTTTAGACAATAATTTAAGAACATTTGAGTCATTCTGGACAGTTTTGAGTGAATTTTTGAAAAAAAAATTTGTCACTTTAAACATGTTTGAAATTATTTTGGACACTTTTGAAAAGAAAAAAAAAATTAACTTGATCAATAAATAAATAAATGCAGCATGGATCAGAACCAGAGAACAGAGGAGCCAGTTGGTGGAGATACATCCAGCATGGTGGAACATCTTTCTACAGATGATGGTGGAACATCTTTCTACAGATGATGGTGGAACATCTTTCTACAGATGATGGTGGAACATCTTTCTACAGATGATGGTGGAACATCTTTCTACAGATGATGGTGGAACATCTTTCTACAGATGATGGTGGAACATCTTTCTAGATTTGAGGTTTCTGGAGGCTTTAAACATGGAAATAGTTGAATATTTTTCATATGTGTTAAAACCTCTCAGCACCTGTGGGACTCAAAACAACTCAAATTTTGTTGAAAAAGATTCAAAATGAGTTCAAAATGACGACAGACTTCTACACAATGACTCATAATTGTCATTCTGAACACAGTTTGAGTAACTTTGGACTGTTTTCCAGTTATTTTGGACAATTCTTGGGTCAGTTTGGACAATTTTATGTTGCTTTGGACATATTTTGAGTTGTTTTTTTTTTCCTTGGACAAGTTTAAAATAGTTCTGGACAAACTTACACTGAGAGGAAAGTGAAATGCACCAAATGGATAAATCAATAAATAAAGTAGCATCTACACCATGTAGAGTCTCCGTTTGTCTAAAGGTTAAGTCTGAAATGCCCTTACTGTGCTTCATGGCCTTGATTAATATCCTCTTCCTTTAGAGGCAGGTGAGCATTTCATCATGCCTTTTTAAGAAGTGCCCTGTTCATGAACTTCATTATAAATGCAGAGGAAATGCAAAACAAGCATTCTAAGCAATAGATATACACTCTGCTTTCTCACCTTTGTCCAGAACTTGGTTACAGGAAAACAAAATGAACAAAATGCTGCTCTTCATATTAACTCTCTGAACCCAACAACAGGCCTGAAGCCCAGAGACAAAACTGCCAGAGTTACACTATTCAAACTGTGGAAACAGAAATCCAGCAGACCTTGAACACATCACGTGGTTCCGTCAGAATCAGGACGTTTCATCAAAATCACTTCATTTTTTAATAAACTGTAAAAACTAAACCGCTCGCACCAGATCCTGCGACAAACCAGAACATCTGGGCGTCTCTGATCAACTGAAGGAACCAGAAACCCAAAAACTTTTCAGGCTGAACTGCAGGAAGTGTTTCTACTGAGCAGGAAGGAGATGACCAGAGACTCAAAATTCTCCAGAGTGACAAGAAAACGGTCATTTTAAACCAATGTTGAGTGATTTTGGAGAATTTCTGAGTCAGTTTGGACAAGTGTCGAGTCATTTTAGACTTAAACTCCAGTGGGACTCAAAATGACCCAAAATGACCCAAAAAAAAATGTGACCAACCTGGCTCGAAATGTGTAATTTTAGCTAAAATCAAGTCTTTTAAAGAAGTTTAAATTAATCTGGGACAGCTTGAGTTACTTTGGGCAACTTTTGAGTCAGTTTGGAAAATGTCATGTGACAGAGAAGTTATGTGGGTTTGTATACTTTGGGTTTCTAAGTTTCTAATCGTTTTGGACAATTTTAGACTCGAGATGAAACTCCAACCTACTGGATCAATAAATAAATGCAGCATGGATCAGAACCAGTGAACAGAGGAGCCAGTTGTTGGAGATACATCCAACTGATGGTGGAACATCTTTCTACATCTGATGGTGGAACATCTCTCTACAGATGATGGTGGAACATCTTTCTCAAGGTTGTCGAGACCATAAATAGTTAAATATCTATAACATGCCTCCAATTTTTCCAAATTTGGTAAAAACTTTGGGACTCAAGAGTCAAAAAAGTCCAAAATCAGTCATTTCGGACAATTTTCTGGGAAAATTTGGACAGTTTCTGGGTTACATTACAGTAAATTTGGGGTATTTTTGAAAATCCTCTGTAACTTTGGACAGGTTTAAATCGTTTTTGGCTCATTTTAGATTCCTGAGCTCTCTCCTTCTAGTCATGGTTGTTGATTCCAGTTTTTTAATTTTTATTTTTTTGGCCTTTTGTGCCTTTATTATATAGGACAGTGAAGAGAGAGACAGGAAAGTGGGGGAGAAGAATGAGGAAGGACTTGCAGCAAAGGGCCATGAGCGGGATTGGAACCCATGGCTGCTGCATTGGGGACCAGAGCCCCGCACATGGGTCGCCAGCTCAACCAGGTGAGCCACAGCAGCGGCGCTTATTCGTTAATGAAATCCAGAAGAAATTCTACTTTTTGTCTTTATAGCTGGATCAGACTGATTCTCTCTCCTTCTTCATGGTTGCTCTGTTTCCATAGAAGACTTCATACTGCAGAGACAAACGAACCCACAGCGAGTAGAGACGTAGCCGGTTAGCCATTGCTAACCGTGAAGCTAACGCTGGGTTTCTGTGTATCTGATCTCTACGTTACAGCTCTGTGTGTGTTCCTGATGTTGCTGCTGGACGAGATGCTCTAAAAATAAAACCAAATGTTTGAAAAGGCCAGAGAGCAGCAGAGTCCCTCCACACGTCGGCATCAACCCTCTGAAAGGAGCGTTAGCGGCGATGAAGAGCAGCTCCTGACCCTCCGGCCTGCAGAGGTTCATAAAACCCTCCTGAACATCAGTCTGCTGCTGAACCCAATCACTGGAGCTCCCTCCGGCTGCTCTCATTGTACAGCCTCCTTTATACCAGCTTCTAGACGCTGGTATTTAAAGCTGGTGCTGTGCAGATAAAGCTGCGGAGCCACAATAGCTGTTTCTCAATACATTTCCTGGAGCTAAATGGCTGCAGCGGTTCTTATGTAACTCACTTTATGTCGTCCAGGATGTCGTTAGAAACATCTCAGGCTGTTCGCTTCCTCTCCTCAGACACTGAACTTCACATTTTGCAGCTTTAGAGATGTTTCTCCACTAAATCAGACATAAATATATCAGATTAATATACCTGATTAAACAGTGAAACATGTCTGGTCTCATCTGTAGAGGTTCAGGAAGCAAAACACCAAATAACCAACGTTTGTAAAGTTTATTTTTAATGCTGGTATTTTTCACGACTAATATTTAAAGTCTAGGAGGGAAAAGATAAAACTTCAGATATTTACTGTTGCATAAATGTTTTGGACTTTATCTCATAAATTCAATTTATTCTTAATAAAAAACATTTTTCACACAATTATAAGGCTGTTAGTAGCATTATTGAGTCTAACTGTATTTCTGTAATAATTTACTGTGATTTTATAGACTTTTTTGGTGTTTGTTTTAATTAAGTGATAACAAAATCACTGAAAAGAGAATTAATTCATCAAAGAAAAAGGCCAAAACTGCAAATCCACATCAGAAATCTGTATTAAATTCTCGTCCAGTGTTTGACTGTAAAATTAAAATATTTTTGGCTGTATTTATATCAGCCAAAAATATTATTTTACAGTAATTTGAAAGAAAAAATATGTGTATTATATAAAATTTTAAATGATAAATCAATTTTATATTGTTATTCGAGAGATTGTTTTAAAATCCAGATAACACATTCCAACAGGACAAAACTATAAATAATGTCCACATTAAATATTAGTGCTTTACAAATAGAAATCTCTTCTTTTACATGTGTGACTGTAAACTTACAATGTTTTACTGTATTTAAATCAGCTTCAAACACATTTTTAAAAGTTATTTTTAAATGTTTTTCTTTGTTCTAACATTAAAGTTTTCCACCGTTCTTTTAATGTTTTAGCCTCGACAGTCCAGATGACCTCTGCAGCGACAGAACCGGATCTGAATCTGGACCTTCATTTCCTTTTCTGGGGCAGTAAACACTGAACACAGCCTTCAGACGACCGTTAGGCTGATACTCGGGCTGATGTACAGACTTCAGAGCCGACGACAGCCGAACTAAACTCAGCGAGCTGCAGCTCTGACTTACTGCTCACACGCAGGACTCCAGCTGCCACTTCCTGTTAGCTCGAAGCTGCACTTTGCTGCTTAATTATTTACCGGGCCGAGTTCTGAGTGAGGGAAACCGCTCAATTAGCAAAATAAAACGACTTCAAATGACCCAAAATAACCAACCGAGGACGGAACCGAACACAGGAGCTGATGTGTTCACCTGTACACTGTAAAAAATGAAGCTTTAGCAGCAAAAACGCAAAACAGACACAAAAAACAAGAAAAAGATCCAAAGGTGTAAATTTAGAAATGACCATCTGTTGTTTTACGTTTAACTGTAAAGTTAAAGTATTTTTACTGAACTTACAGCCACAAAAAACACCGTTGTATAGATACTTGTCTTTTAAAAATATTATGGATTGAAAATACTTCACTGTTTTCTCCTATTTTGTTAATTATTTCTAATAAAATCAGAGAAAACTATTAATTTACATGTTGAATGTTAAAAAAACAAAATTGCAAATAACGTAACATAAAAAAATCATTTTTTAAAAAATGATTATTTGTTGTTTTACAATGTTTGACTGTAAAATTCAATTTTTACTGTATTTAAATCAACTAATAATTAATTTTTACGGATGCATTTTTTTATTTGAAAGAAAAATTAGATATATTTAGGATTGAAAAATAGCAGATCACTTTTTTGTCATGTTAAATTACAGATAATATCGAGTAAAATCACAGAAATAAAGTATTAATTGACACATTTACTGCATAAAAAAATATCTTACATTTTAGAAAGTGTATATTTTTTATTTTACAATGTGTGACCATAACACTGAACTGTTTTGTTAAAACAGTAAGATAAAAATAAGATAAAAACACCAATATTCTAAAGATATTTGTTGTTATTTTTAGTTTTTTGCCAGATTCTCATACTTTTATAACATTATTTTATATTATTTTTTACAGTGTGTAGCGTGATGGTGCAGCTACCGCTAATATAAAAGTCAAAAAGATGTTTTCATCCTGGAAATGTTTGGAAAATGTGCTTGTACATAAAGCTCCAAACACTGTGACTGTTGAATTTAACCAAATCAAGATAAACCCAACAGTGAGGAGCTGGGCTGATGGCTCGTGTTTGTCGTTGTCCTCAGACTAAATGCTTCCCATTGTGCCGCCGCTGCCATGCATTATGGAGCAGCGCCGTGCATTAACGTGTTGGGGAATAATGGAGGACCACCGGCGCAGAAAGCAGCCGCCGCGCTCCCGCTCAGACCCGGACACGCTTTGGTCGCGAGGCAAAATGGAGGCGCCGGTCTGGGTTTGTGTAAATACAAACTGACAGGCTTCAGGCTGCACATCCCGGAGCTGGAAGGACCTCACGCCGAGCACCAGGGCAAACAAACAGCCTTCATGCCCCTCAATGGTGATTCTCCTGCTCCGGCTGCCCTCAAGAACGCAGCACAGCGTGATTTATCAGCACCATGGAGCACAATGGGAGTGGAAATAAAATAATAAAATAAGAGAAAAACGGAAAGGCCTGCGCTAAAAATAACACGAGAGCAGAACGAGTTCCACACCAGGAACTGTGCATTTAGAAACAACGCTGGATGGTTTCTAAGCAAACGTTTATCTGTAGCATCTGTTTTATAGAATCAGCAGCCTGGATGCTGAAGGAGAAGCCGAGCAGGAGAGTCGAGGTATCAGCTTATCGTACGAGTCCAGACACTTGTTTAAATTAACTCCACAGCCACCTCTGACTTCCACATACAGTAAGCCGGCGTGCTAAAGTCTAATTCACATGTTTGTTGCTAAGAGATAAGAATGTCGTCTTCATTAAACTCTAAAGCCGTTTACATCCTAACGGCACAGAGGACTTTGTTCATGTCGCGTCAACGACAACCTAAACGGCAGAACTTGTCAAACTCAACCAAACACTGAACATCATCACAAACACACCATCCCCCCATGAAGCACGGTGGTGGCAGCATCATGAC